TTCAGAAGTAAAGGAATAGCATGTGTTGCAGGTTTCCTAGTCGAAGTTTACTGAAGCTTTGCCGCAGAGCCATGTGGGAAGGTCTGGAGCTGTCCTGGAGAGGATTCTTAGAGGAAGTATTGAGAATATCACATCCGAGACACTATTATTTGGCACTGGCTCAAGGAGAGGACTGTAGCAACGATTGACTTTGGTGTGCAAATGTGCTACAATTCAAATCACAGAAACTTGTCTTGATAGCAAGAAATAGCATCACAATGGCAAAGAGAATAAAGCTAAAATTTTACACTTGCAAGTGACCGTCAGGATAGCAGTAACTGACTTTATAGAAAGAACTACTTGGTATAAGATGATATGGTAATTTTCATACTACTGACATTCCTGTGATGCTTAATGGTGATGTTTCCATCCAAAGCCATTTGATAAAATAAAGCAAAGTCCAGAAGGCTGAGAAATGAGCTCAGATTGAACTGCAAACTCTTTCTATCAAAGAGAGATGTGTCTACACTCAAAGGAGAAGCATTATAGCCATGATCACACTGTAAGAACCCTGTTACTTATAGTAATTACTGGAAAAATGAATAACATTTTTCATCTTTTAAAAGAATATGTAGATCTGAAGAAGCAGAAATTTGTGTGTTGCCATTTGCAACCTTCAGTGATTATCTCTGGATCTTATGCCAGATGGAACTAGAATTTATCCACTTGCAATGTATTTCATCATCAAAGCTGTTATCTGCCATCTACCCCAGACAATGTCCTAGCAGAACAGAGGGTCACAAATACACTCATAGACCTTTATCTTTTTTGTGCTGAGCAGATATAGTCCTGATTATTGAATTCAAACAGATCTCTGGAATTGTAGGCTCTACAGCTCTAGCTGATGCTTTCGGAGTACTGGAAGTGATTCTGTGGTCACACAGTGTTATGGAGGTGTGTGCCATAGGGCCCGCTGGTGGTGGGTGTCTGTAAACAGGTACCCATCCAGGAGAACATAAACATGGTAAGAGGAATAAATAGCAAGAGAAGCAGGGGTAACTGCTATTGCTTAAGGACTGGGTGAGCTGACCTGTGGAGCAAACAGACTTCTGTAGATGCTATTAGAAAGTACCTGGCGTCCATCAGGGCACATAGTAGGTCCTGGAAGTCCTCTGACAGTACAACTGTGCTGGCGCATCTAAGTAATATGTTCCTCTGATGATTAACTCGGCGGCAAACCAGTTTCTTTTCTGTCATCTATTAGGAAGTCTGCTTCAGAAAGAAAACGGTGACATTTAAATTCTAACATACTTTTGGGATAACTTGTGTTTAAGCAAGACCATTAAAATAGGATTTTACTACCTGTCTCCTTGAAACTGGTAGAGACACAGAAGGGAAATTTCCCAGTACTGGTTTTAGAATGGGTTTGTGAAAAAAGTTTAACTTTTCTGGCCCTCAAACTTGGTTTCTGAAACACGGAGATGTTTCCCTATTGTAGAAATCTCTCCTGCTCAGCTCACTCATATCTAGTTATTTTCACTCTGGGGTCTGGTAGGTTTGTAGTTTTCATCCCATTTGCCAGTTCAGTGGAATCCTATGCTAATACTGGTGAAAGTTCTGTGGGCAGAAGCACACTCTGTCAATGCCGAGCCAAAGCAGTTCATTATCTGGAGACCTCCAGCATCCTCTTGCTTATGCTACTGTAACCAGTAGGGTTCCCGGTGGTAGAGTCTTCACTAGCTTGCGTTCCAGAGAGGAGACACGGAGTACAGCTCTCTCCCTACTTTCACTTGCACTTATGTGCTGTACTTCGGCTCCGAAGCGTTCCCCTAAAGCTCCCGTGGTAAAGACGTAGTCACTCGCCTGTGGGAAGTGGTAGAACCTTTAGAAGGAGTTAGACTGCACCCTTGAAGGGGATATCAGGACTTACCCTCCACCCCGCCTTCCTCCTCCTTTAGATCCATGAGGTGAGCAACTTGGTTCTGCCACGCCATCTCTGCTGTCCTGCTGTTATGGCTGCCTTACCATGGGGCCCCAGAACAAGAGTCAAGTGAATGTGGACTGAATCCTCTGAAACTGGAACTAAAGTAAGCATTTCTTCTTCTTAAGTTGCTCTTTCAGATATTTTGTAACAGTTACAGAAACCAGAGTAAGTGTTGTTTCAGGTCCCTGGGACATGAGGGCCAGCTGTCATCACATCATAACCTAGTTTATTCTGACCAATACATGCATACTGCTTGAGTTTTCATTTCTTGACTAGAGGATTGTTAGGCTTGTTTTTAACATCTTTCTGACACAAGAGTCTCCGGTTCCCAGACTTGAGTCCATTAGCATCATACCTTGATGGCTCAATGTGCAGATTCCTGGGTCTCACTCCTAGAGAACTGGGCTTCAGTGGGTTTGGTGTGAGTTTCAGACATTTGACTTTTACTTTTACTTTAATATTTTAAACTGGGTTTTATGTGACTCTGATACAGGAGGGAGGGCCACACATCAAGAAATGTAAATCTGCATCATGCTATAAAAATTCTGGCTATTACTTATCAAGTTCTTCTAGTCAGATATTTTCAGATATTGGTAAAAGGTTAAAGGCATTTAGGGCAAGAATAAGTATAATGACTATAAAGTTCACTGGCTTTGTTTCAAGGCTGAAGAAGAGATAAAGTGAAAACAGAATTGGTGAATTGGTGATTAATAGACTCAAGCACTTTCTAAATGAGAATTCCAAAAATTGTAAATCATTTGGAAATTGAAGTGATGGCCTGGAAAACAAGGAAAAATTAAGAAATAGCAAATGAGAAGTATTTGAAGTAATAAAAGAAGAATCCATAGGACAATTCCTTCACAGTTGATTTGTAAGATTTCTGGGAGAATAGAAGCCACAGGGATCTTAACGGACTCTGTGTGAAGGAGCTGGGGAGAAAGTATGTTGTATGTGACTCCACTTATAGGCTTCAGAAAGCAGTTCTGGAATTCTGGGGTTCACTTGACACTGGATCCATGACTATCATTTATTAGGAGGATGGTCTCCTGTGTGATTCAAAGGTAGTGTTGTTTAAATCCTTTGGAGAGGAATTCTACTGAATTCACATAAAAATTTGCTTCTCTAGATTTTGAATAAATGATATCTTATAAAGAGAATGGATTTTATCTGTTTCATCCCCCCGGTTATTTATTATTTATTTAGCTACTAAGGATTACTTGTAGATTTGTGAAGTTAGTAGAATTGTACCAATTCCATAAAGTCTGTTTTTGTGGGGTAAAATCACTTAGGAATCTGTCCTCTTGCAGTTTATTTTTGGTGGTCAGTGACTACTCACGGTTGCTGAAAGCAGCTGTGTAGACAGCCAGCAGCATGGTGCCTGTAGGCAGTGTAGTCCCTTAGTACCGAGGGGGTCTGCTTACTTTAGAAATGTGTGTCTAGAAAAGAACCAACTTCTCAAAGCAAGTTCACACAGGAGAAATCACGGACTCATCAGGGTCAAGGAAGAGGGAAGTTCTGGGGCATCAGGTCAAGGATGCCACCTGTCACTAACCATTACTGAAGAGTTGCTCAACCTGTCCTGAGTAATTTATTTTTCCTTCCAAGGCTGCCTTTGCTATTGCTTGTGAAGAAATTTTAATGCCAGGTGGGGTGGTGCACACCTGTAATCCTAGCACTAGGGAAACTGAGGCAGGAGGATCGCTGTGAGTTCGAGACCAGCCTGGGCTATGTAGTGAGTTTCAGGGCAGTTTCAACTACATAGTGAGACCCTGTCTCAAAGAACAAAACAAAACAACAACAACAAACAATTTTATTTGTATAAACTTGCAGAAGGAAGATCTTAAGAGTGATGATAGAATTGTTTCCTTGGGTTCAGGGCTGACTGCAGGCCTCAGTTCTTTACCCTATATCCTCCCTCCCCCACAACCCTGAAGAGATTCAGAGTGTACAAAACTCCAATGTGCCACTCAGTTAAGAATTTTTTTTAAAGAACAGAACATATCCTTTTTATTTTTGATAAAATTGCCCGGAACAGCTTCAAACTTGTGACCTGCCAGCCTCAGCCTCCTGAGAATGTGGGATTACAGGAGTGCACCACCCCTGGCCTAACAGACAGGTATTATGTTAAAGCAAGAAAAAGCACTTCATGAGTAGTATGTCTTACACAGAAACTTAAAAGGGGGCATACACAGTACTATAAAAATGAAGACCTTACATTACATTTGAGAACACACCACTTATTATTATTAGAACCATATATATCATTTATCTCTATTCCCCAAAACCTTGATTTGTGAGCATAATTCATTTCAGAAACACTGGCAATCCA